CGAACGCTGCAGTGTCATTATGACGAGTCAAGATCTTCCAAGGGCATGACTGGCATAATGTCTATATTACGCTCTGAAATTCATGCTATTTCTCCAGTATTCTTCATATATATTTATATACGTGTTATGTATATCTGAAGTGAAATACCATAAACTTGGGTATGTCTAACAATAAAATATGCAAAAGATCTCGTACCTGAAAATGAAAATCGTGAAATTGATAACTTTTTCGCATCTCTTGGGTATGTTTCCAACTGCGTCGAATTTTCAGGGGGAACAGGTAACCGAAATGGCACGCGAGGTTGCACACTGTCCTTTAATTTTCATTCCAGGGATTTTGAGTTTGCAGCTTAGACTACTAGTTAATAATGAATTCAGACTTTCACTCGTACAAATGCTGAGAATGTGGAAGTAAATGGGTAGATAGATAGCCAGAAGGGAGAGAGAGAAAAGAGAGGGATAGAGGGCACAGGGTACAAGGTACAGAGAAGAGGGAGAGAGGGGGAGAGGTAGGGAGAGGGAGTGGGAGAAAGGGAGGAGGGGGGAGAGAGGAGAGATGAGAGAGGCGGATAATGGAAGGGGGGGAGGAGAGAGAGAGAGAGAGAGAGAGAGAGAGAGAGAGAATGAGCAACAGAGAGAAATGGATGAGAAACCAAGAAACACAGGGAGACACAAGGAGAAAAGAAACAGTGAAGGAGAAATAAGTATAGTGCTGGGAGGGGGGGGGAGGCATCGAGTGTAATGCGCAAGAACAGAGAGAGAGAGAGAGAGAGAGAGAGAGAGAGAGAGAGAGAGAGAGAGAGAGAGAGAGAGAGAGAGAGAGAGAGAGAGAGAGAGAGAGAGAGAGAGAGAGAGAGAGAGAGAGAGAGAGAGAGAGAGAGAGAGAGAGAGAGAGAGAGAGAGAGAGAGAGAGAGAGAGAGAGAGAGAGAGAGAGAGAGAGAGAGAGAGAGAGAGAGAGAGAGAGAGAGAGAGAGAGAGAGAGAGAGAGAGAGAGAGAGAGAGAGAGAGAGAGAGAGAGAGAGAGAGAGAGAGAGAGAGAGAGAGAGAGAGAGAGAGAGAGAGAGAGAGAGAGAGAGAGAGAGAGAGAGAGAGAGAGAGAGAGAGAGAGAGAGAGAGAGAGAGAGAGAGAGAGAGAGAGAGAGAGAGAGAGAGAGAGAGAGAGAGAGAGAGAGAGAGAGAGAGAGAGAGAGAGAGAGAGAGAGAGAGAGAGAGAGAGAGAGAGAGAGAGAGAGAGAGAGAGAGAGAGAGAGAGACATCGCAGTGTAATGCGCAAGAACACACACGTTTGTGTCCTTGTATCTATGTGTATTAATTATATATGTATGTATATATACATATACATATACATATATATACACATATATGTTTATAAGCATCCATACGAATGAAATATATATATGTATATATATTATATATATACACATACACGTTTGTACATATTCTTATATATACATATATGAATATATATATATATATATATATATATATATATATATATATATATATATGTATGTATGTATGTATATTTATGTGTATATGTTTGTGTGTATGTGTGTATCTGTGTATGTATGTATATGTATATATATATATATATATATATATATATATATATATATATATATATATATATATATATATATATTATATATACACACATACATACACATGTTTTTTTATGCGTGCATACTCCCACAACAGACACACATACACGTTTATGTGTATGTTTTTGTGAGTGCCTTGCTACATCTATATTATTCATTTGATTGAGAATGATTCAGTAAACGCATTTCATCCATTAAGAAAAGTATACTTCGAAAGCCGTTATGACTTTCCTAAACAAACAAATACAGGTACACAAATACACTTACTGTACGCGGCCGGTAGATGTATGGGCAACCGTGCAAGTGCTGTGCTTATGTTGTACTTAAGAAAAAGAAAAAAAGGCAGACTGACGTGTGTACATACAATTTTTGTAAACATTTATGAACATATACATACTTTGACTGCCTATGATCTGAATGGATATGTTAATTATATTATAGATAGATAGATAGATTGATTGATTGTTTGATAGATAGATATAGATATAGATATTTTTTTTACTTGAAGTTTTATTATTTTATTTGGAATGCTAATATCCTATTGAGATGTTATGCAGTACGAACAAATGCGCTGTTAAAGATCACACACGATGGCTGATGTCTTTTTTCATGATTAGTGATGTAAGGATGAACGGGCACCAAAAGCATGCACCAGTAACACCATTGCACCATTTGCAACAAAATCTTGGATTTCTTTTGACACCTCCCCTCTGTCTTTATGCTTCTGCTTTTGCTCTCGTTCTTATGATCCTGCCTTTATTTTATGTGTCTTGCTCTCTCTCTCTCTCTCTCTCTCTCTCTCTCTCTCTCTCTCTCTCTCTCTCTCTCTCTCTCTCTCTCTCTCTCTCTCTCTCTCTCCCTCTCCCTCTCTCTCTCTTTCTCTCTCTCTCTCTCTTCTCTCTCTCCCTCCCTCCCTCTCCCTCTCCCTCCCCCTCCCCTCCCCCTATTTCCCTCTCCCTCCCCCCCTCCCTCTCCCCCTCCCCTCCCCCTATTTCCCTCTCCCTCCCCCCCTCCCTCTTCCCCGTTACCTTGTACCCTGTGCCCTCTATCCTCAACTGCACCCTCTACCCTTTGTCTTCCTTTCCTCTCCCTCCTTCTACCCTCTACCTTCCTTCCTCCCTTAAATCCTTCCAACCATAGAAACTTTCCACCCTAACCGACCATACTCTCATAACACAACCCAAGACTCCACCATCACCACCCGCCATGCTTAGCAACCATCATACCGATCGCTCGTATAGAAGAGTAAAGAATCGTTCGCATAAAAAAAAAAAGAATTCAGATAAATCCATCCATGACTGCAACCCCCCCCCCCCCGTCCCCACCCTACCCCCTTACATCCGTTCTTGCAAGGCCGGGACGTTCGCGGATTCCAATACCGATCGCTCGTATAGAAAAAAAGAATCGGTCGCAAAGAGAAAATAAAATAATCACATAAAAAAGATAAATCCAGATAAATCCATCACTAACTGCTCCCCTTCTCCCCCTACATTTGTTCTTGTAAGACCGGGATGTTCGCGGATTCTAATACCGGTCGTTCGCATAGTAAAAAAAAATCGATTGCATAGACAAAAAAAATCGCATAGAAAAAAGGATAAATCAAGATAAATTCATTCTTGACTGCGCCCCTTTTCCCCCTTACATCCGTTCTTGTAAGGCCGGGGTCGTTCGCGGATTCACGGGTACCCAATCCGTGTGAATCCCGTTCCTCCCGAAAGCCGAGGTTGTTGTGCTCGGTGTCAACATGTCCCTCGCAGTGTAGTGTCCGCTGCCGTGGGGGAGTGTCCTTTGAGCAAGTCGTGGCGGGTGTTTCTCCTTTTAAGCTGTGCTCATGGAGGGTGTTCGACATAGGAAGGTAATAGGGTGGATGGATTTGGGGTTTCCGATGGCGAGTTTGGTGGGGTTTGGGGTTTGAAATGAGGTGGTGAGGCTGGGGTTTAGCGGAGGTGTGAGTGATGGTTGGTGTAGGTTTTCTCTCTCTCTTTTTTTTTATTTGATTTTCTCCCTCTCTCTCACGGTCAGATTTCGTGAGGATTTGTAAATGTTTGTTTTTGTATTTATGTTAACGAATTTCGTGGAATACGTATAGCTTTAATCACGATATGTACTTCAAGAAAGTTTTAGAAGAAATATTCCAGGCACTTCCAGCTGCCGGTATATGGCTGTGATAATTACACACGATATGAATTCCGGTAGTACACATAGCAGGTGGTATAATTATACACCATATTATTGGATGATATACCTGATTACCAGGTAAATTTCTTACTATCCAGCAATGGCTTTCAGAACTGGATTTTTTTTTATCATGATAATGGCTGTTTTCCATCTAAATTCATAACTAGTTTGCTTTGTGCTCCATGCTCCAGCAAAGTCAAGGAAACGAAAGTCTATAGACCAATACATCAAGTGATACCATGGTTTCTGTGTTCTGACAGTTGTTAACAATCCTGTCATCTATATTTTGACATGATATAGCGTGCTGACTTGCCTGGTAATTTGCTATTGAATAAGGAACCAGCCTAGACTCTGGCTTTATCTCAACATATATGGTAGACACAAACACAGTAACATGTACACGAAAGTGAAAAGGAAAACAGCCACAGTAAGAAATGATGGTGAAGTGTGATATTTCGAACTCTTCATGAGTTCCTCTTCAGGCAGATGATAAACCAAAGTTACAATTTATTTTCATTTCTTACTGTGGCTGTTTTCCTTTTCATCTTAATGTACACATTACTATGTTTGTGTTTGTGTCTGCCTATATATGTTGACATAAAGATAGAGCCTAAGCTGGTTCCTTATTCGATAGTAAATTACCAGGGAAGTCAGCACTTTATATCATATTAAAATGTATATGACTGAGGATTGTTAACCCCTGTCAGAACACAGAAATCATGGTATCATGTAAAGTATTGGTCTGTTGACTTTGGTAAAGGATTTGTTGACCTACCCTTACTTTGCTCAAATTATTTTCTTAATACTTATTAGCATTATCTGATATGCTCTTTTTTATTTTTTGACATGATTCTTTTATTGATGATGACTAAAATTGCACTGAAAAGTAAGTTATTATATACTGATTTTAGATATGGTTACTGGGTAATGCATATGTTAACAGACAGTTTATCATTACATGACTATCTCATAATGTATTATGTGCTGATTTTACCATGTTTTTGTACATAATATATTTCTATGAATTTTGTTTCTTTGCTTTTATGCTTCTGCTCTATACATTTGTCTCTCAGATCGTGGGGTTGTAGAACACTCATTTTGCACAATATAAAGTAATTTATTTATTAATTGTATTTTATTTTAATATTATTCTTTTATTTATTTATTTATTTTTATATGCACATGATTCACATAATTTCAGTCTAGTTGCCTGTTTATTG